TCATTGAGGTGATATTATCGTTGAAGTGATAGGCCCGTGCGGAGCACGGGCAATTTCATTGAAATTCTGCTACAGCAGCCGTTGGGCCCGAGTATAACATATCAGAGCGATTATCTTAAGAAAGAATGGCAGGCCATACCCCAACCTACCGGAATCGGGTATCAAAGGAAATTTGTAGCCAAAATAAAATGATTCAGGTGAGCGATCAATATATGTGCATATATCCTTTCTCATACTATAGGAAGCCAGCACATACTCTTGAATATGTAAACATAGAAAATATCAACTACGTCATCGTTGTCGAGGTCTTACACACACCCAACCCTTTATCATACAGGAATGGAGTAGTGTAGTTAACGTAATCGATATAGCGCTTCAACTACACGTGAATATCTAAAGCTTTGAATCTCTAATCCCGTGAGTTTCAACGGTGGTTATTTTGTCAAGGAGACAAGGTGCTGTGGTGAAAAGAAGCTGGTGATAGAATCTCGAGGATAGATCAGGTAGTTATGACAACAAGCAAGAACAACAATGATAGGAACAGTGTGGTCTCAGTATCGGCATCCACCCCAGTACTTCTTTGGACTCTGAGTAAATACATACGCAATGGTGATATTATATTAGGGAGTCTGTCCATGGCGAGCTTTAAGAACTCATGCTATGATAGCTTCTTATTCTACTACCCTTCTTTGATACCCGATTCCACCACGTTGGGGTGGAGCCTGCCATTCTTCATGAGAAAAGTACTCCGATACGTTGTATGCCAAACAAGTACAAAATCTTAAAGCCTTTCCGCTGCCTGATACCCCCAAGCAAATATAGTCTCTTCGTGGTCGAGTATGCTCAGAGCCTGTTATTCCGGCATCGATTACAGATCTTCGTCCTACACTTCGAGCAGCTGTTTACAAACTTTAGACGATAATCACATATTCCACACACTTCCCATTCACCGTCGTCCTCAGCATATGTTCGTTCCCACTGGTGGGCACATTCGCCAGAGGACTGTTTAACATCGTTGGCAATTGCGGATCCTCCCGCCACGGTTGTGAGTCGCATGCGCAAACCTGCCTCAAGTGTTTCGGGCATCGCGATTTGGTGGCGCCGGCCATTTCTAGCTTGTCTGTTGGCGATGAGGCGATCTTCGTGCATGCAGAGTTCGCAACAAGCAAGTCAAGCAAGTTTTGACAGTCAACTTGACTTACTTGGCACGATTTTTGAATAAAATAATACTTGCTTGACTT